AATTCTCACCATTCTTCTTACAAAGAATGCACTAGTGTGGGGATAAACACCAATTAGGCCTTTTTCTTTGAAGTAAGTCGCAAGTGTTACATTTTTCAAGGAAAACTTCCCAACAAAATGCACTAACTTTGGGAGGAATTGGTCTACCCTAGACTTCCAGAACTGGAAAAGGGATTCCAAAGACAAGTGGGGAATGAGCCAATACTTTGAATAATGATGAACATGAGAAGACACCCGAAGGAGAAGGAGTCCAAATCCTACTATCCCTTCTGAGTGGATCGATAGTCACCCCCTCAAGGATTTTTAGCAGGTCAGCAATGAGGTTCAATTTCGGGTCTCTAAGGGCCCTTCTAAAACTCAAATCCCAATCAATGGATGAACTAGAAGAGGTCAAGAAAGTGGAGATTGGCTCATTTTTAAAATGTGGTAGAGAATACAAAGACGGGAAGAGCTCCTTTAGTGGAATGTCTCCCGCCCAAACATGATCCCAAAATTTCACAAGATTACCAAAGCACATATCATACCTGATTAGAGGAAGGAAAGAAGGAAGGATGGCATGAATTGATTTCCAAGGAGAAGCTCTCGTAGCCCTAACTAAAGCTGCAGAGTCCCAGCCATTTGCCGCTTGCCCATGAATACTTAAGACCACTTGAGCTCATAATTTATCCCTTTCCAAAGTCAATCTCCAAAGCCATTTCCCCAACAGAGCATTTTTTTTTCTGCAAATTACCTAAAGCAAGCCCACCATCATTTTTGGTTTTGGTAACTATATCCCACCTGACCCTATTATCTTTTTTCTCCTCTTTTGGTTCCCATAAGAAGTCTCTCATTAATTTCTCCAAAATCCCACAAATTCCTCCAGGCATTTTAAACATCGGAAAAAAGTACACTAGCAGATTTGCCAATGTAGATTTGATCAGAGTAATTCTACCTCCCATGGATAGGTAGTTTTTCTTCCAAGATGCTAACCTCTTAGTGAATCTCTCAATCACCAGGTTCCAGAAACTCTTTTTACTTGGGTTATCCCCTAGTGGCATTCCCAAATAGATCAATGGCCATTGTGCGATCTCACATCCCAAAGTGTGGGCCCTATCCTTCACCTCACTTTCACTCAAATTAATGCCAATCACACAGCTCTTGTCCAAATTAACTTTAAGATTAGTCACCTTTTCAAAAACATTGATCGCTTGCTTTAGGTTACTCACCCAGCTCACCTCCTCCCCACTACAAAAAAGAATTGTGTCATCAACAAACTGTAAATGTGTTACTGGGACCTTATTCCTTCCTACCCTCCGACCTTTCACCAAATTTCTAGAGTTTGCTCTCTCAATGAGTTTTCCTAGGACTTCAGCAATTAGAGTAAACAGGAAAGGAGAAAGGGGGTCTCCTTGCCTGATACCCCTGGTAGCTTGGAAATGATCTACCACCCTCCCATTCACTAAGATGGAATAGTGGCAAGTCCTAATACATCCTTTCACCCACTTGCACCATTTCTGCCCAGATCCAAAAGACTCTAAGACTTCTAGTAGAAGTGACCAATCCACCATATCATATTCCTTTTCAAGATCCAATTTGCACACTAATCCCTTCTTCCCACTTCTTTTGAAGTCTTCCATAGTTTTGTTTGCAATCAGGATTTGATCCACAATTTGTCTACTCTTCACAAAGGCACCATGATTTGGGGAAATGATTAAAAGTAGGACTTCTCTAATCCTCCGAGAAAGCACCTTAGCAATGATTTTATAAAGGCTGTGTACCAAGCTAATGGGTTTGAACTCTTTGGGGTGACGGGCATCTCCCTTTTTTGGGATTAGAGCCAAAAATGTGGAATTGAGGCCTGGATTAGTCACCCCTCTTTCAAAGAATTCAGAAAACACTTTTTGGATGTCATCCTTCAGAATGTCCTAGCAGTCTTGATAGAAAGCCATCGTAAAACCGCCAAGACCAGGTGCTTTAGATCTATTCATTGAAAATATGGCTACCCTTATTTCTTCCAATTCAAAGCTTCTCTCTAACCACACCCTTGACTCTTCCGGTAGTCTCGGCCACTCCAAACCCTCAATCTGTAATCTACTTGACATAGGCCTTCTAAAGATTGATTTATAATGGTCCACAAAGGCTCCTTCAATCTCTTCATGCTAAGTCAATATTGCATCATTTATCACTAGCTTGGATATAAGTTCTTCTTCCTCCTGCCATTGGCCACAACATGAAAAAATTGTGTTTCTATCTCCCTCCTTTACCCACTTATGTCTGGACTTCTGTCTCCAGCTAATTTCTTCTTTGAAGAGAACATCCTCCAGCTAATTTTTTTTCTCAACCCAAATATTTTGTGTTTCTTTTTTTGCATCTAGCTCCTCAATCCGATGCATCAACTGTTGTTTTCTTTCCTCAAGCCTCCCAAATTGGAGAATATTCCATTCTTTGATTTTGATTTTCAACTCCTTCAACTTCCACTGAAATTTCATACCCTCCCAATTAGCCCTTGGATCACTTGCTACCCACCATTCTTTCACTTTCTCTTTAAAACCTGGATGGGATAACCACATGTTCTCGAATCTGAATGGGATAGGCCCTCTATTCCTAGGATCCACCTTATTAATCAAAACTGGCCAATGATCAGAGGCGACCCTAGGCAGTGTCCTTGACATCAGATCTCCCCAATATTCTTCCCAATCATTAGTAAACAAAAATCTGTCTAATTTTGAACAAATTGGATCAGCTTGGAGATTTGACCAAGTAAACCGGCTATGCGACAGATTCAATTCTTTGAGCTCAAAACATTGATAAACTCGTTGAATTTCCTCATACTTGTAGTGTTTCTTTGCCGCATCTTGTTACACTCCTCAGTGAATCTAATTACATTAAAATCCCCTCCTAAGCACCAAGGGCCTTCCCATAATCCTCTTATGTCTCCTTGCTCTTCCCACAACTCACTCCTCTGCCTGTATCCATTGGGGCCATATACATTAGTTAATACCCATTCAAAACCATCGCCTACTTGTTTGAATTTAACAGAAACTGAGAATTTTCCAATCAATTATTCAACTCCTTCAACAGCTTCATTTTCCCACAAAGTCACTATTCCTCCAGAAGTTCCCCATGAGGGACTCATTGCCCAACTGATGCCGTTTGCTCTCCATAAACTTTTGGCCCACCTACTATTAAATGTCATGAGCTTAGATTCCTGAATTAGGAGTATATCTGGATTTTCTTTTCTCAGTAGCTCCTTAATCAACACCCTCTTTCTTGCATTCCCCAATCCTCTCACATTCCAACTCACGATCTTCATATTGCCTTCTTATTCCGTCCCTAACCTGCTTTCTTCCTATTTTTCTCCTTTCCTACCCCTGCCCTTTTTCTCATTGATTTTCTTATCCCCTTCCATATCTTGCTTCAGCCTTTCAACTTCACTCATCTTTCTTTTTCTCACCTTCCCTTCTTCTTTTCTATTCTTAAGGTATATTTTCAGCTCATTCAGATTTCTTATTTTACATCCCAATTTTCCCACAAATTCAGCCAACAACTCTTCTTCTGCTTCTTCCAATTCAGACTCCTCTGATTCCTTCTCTTCTGTCCCTTCACTCTTTCTGTAATCCATCTCTTCTCCAGTATCTTTACACCCTCTATCCGCACTTTCACTTTCCTTCTTTTTCTCCCCTCTCTGCTCTTTCTCTTGTGTCTCAATTTCATTATGGGCAAACGGTAAGGAAGCAGCTCCGGAACCTGGAGTACAAGCAGCAAGACCAGAGCTAGAGTTAGTATCAAAACCCAAAGGCACAGACATACCTGGACCTGAGTTTGAAGTAGATTCGGCACTGGTCTGGACTTCACAATTCACTCCCAGAATATAATTTTGCGAGGAATTTTCTGAACCTGATTCGGACTCACTACTTCCATCGCTCTGTCGTTTATCTTCCTCTGTTACGTCTTTGTTCGAAGTTTGGATATTGATTGATATTATCTTACCCATTCCTTGCTCACTGTTCATTCACTGACTTGGATTTCCTCTTTCTGGTACACCGTTTTCCCTTTTATCCTCCAAATTGTACTCTGCATCCTCCATCAACCATTATTAGGATATTTTTTATTAGAGGTTAAATCCTTATGTTCTCCAACGAACAGTTCAGCAGCTGCGCTAAGCATGTCCTCCATGTCTTCTTTCTCCATCATATCTTCCCCAATCACTCTCTGTTTCAGATTCTGGTTCGTATTCATTGACTGAGGATTCGCAGTGAACCCAGCCATCGTCCTCCTCTTCATGCTCCTCTCTTCCGCCTCTGAAATACCTCGGATTTGGGCGTTCTTCTCCCAACTTTCCTTGGTTCACTGCATCGGATTTGGATACTGGGATCCACTGTAATTTTCTCTTCATGTCAGCACTGTTTCTTCGGCTGAAACAGTGCTGACGTGACCTTTAAAGGTGGACCTCAATTGCACCCAAGTGGACCCGACTCACGTGACTTTTAAAGGTGGACCTCAATTGCACCCAAGTGGACCCGAGTATAATATATGGACCACTCCCCCGGTTGGACCTCAATTGACCCACTAGGACGCCAGTTGGGTCAGACCAGGACCTATAAACAAGTTTTTCTCCTCTGGGTGGACCCAGCCCTTGGTCCGACCAGGTCACCCCTTTGACTACCTCTGCAAAAGAATGGCCCTCAGATTTTTTGGATTCAAAATAATTTGAAAACTTTTCTTTAAATGGCCGAATATTTGGTTCTGTCCATTCAGCTTCCAAAGTGGGAACGTCTTCATTCCCAGAAAAGTTTTCCTTCCCAAGTCCGCACACGTGTCCACTTTTCTTTCCTTGTTCATCGCCAATTGTAACCCACTTTGCCACGCTACTGTCGTCTTCAAGCTTCGACCTTCCATACTAGAGCGACGCTTCAACTTCCGATACTACCTAGATTTTGTACCAGTAGCCGTCTGCATACAGATTGATGGATCTTGGAACCTTCTCAGGTTTCACACCAGCGACTTTCAAGTTCATTGCTCTCAAGCCCACCGTCTTGAAGGATAGGAGAGCACCATCCAAAGCTGTCACTATTTTTTGGAGAGGTTTTTTGCCATAGATGAAAAGGCAAACCTAGAAGCTTCAGCTTGAAGCTCCCATTGCTCATTGTTACTTCATTAGCCGATGGGCACCAGTTTTCAATTGTTACAGGTCCCTCACTTGTTTCTACAGTTTTGAAGTCCAATATCTCCCTTCCCCCCTCTTCCATTACAGCTTTTCTGTCATTGAAGGGGATTAGTATATCACAGTATGAGGAGTACCAACCTTGGAAGTCACCTCCTCGAGTAAGCCTTTCCAGTCGTTTACTTCCTTCTTTGCCGACAAGATTAGTCTTCGCTCCCAACTTCTTTTCTCCCCCTCCAATAAGATCTTTGGTTCCGGTATTGTTAGAGATACCACCATTGAATCAGTATTTTCTTCATTTTCTTCTAACCCTAACCTCTCTAATTGCTTCCTTCTCTTTGTCATTTCTTCCTTTCCCAGTATTGCTGTCATTTTTTCTGGTTCCTTTATCTCTTCCTTCTTTCTCACAGCCATTCTCCGGTGAAGTTTGTTTGCTATCGTACTCCAGCCTTGCAGACTGTTGGCTACTGGTATGATGATCCTCTGTTTTTTTCTTTGCTCAAAACTTTCCTCCAGAACAACAAACCAGCCATTGGAGTTTCTCTTTCTCTCAGCAAAATACTCCCTCCTTAACTGCCTAAGGGGACTCTTCCATGGCCTACCCCAACTTACATGTACTGTTCCGTCCAGGAAGCTCTGGAACCATGATACAGCTTCACCCACCAACAGTATCGCTCCTCTTCTTCCTTCCCTTATCTTTATCGTAAGATTCTTTTGGTATGCAATTTCTTCCATCAAGAATCCTTTTCTTTCGGCTGTAACCACTTTTCTCCATTTTCCAGTTGTTGTGAATCCTTCGTTCTTCTCCATCAAGAAACCTTCGATAAACTTTTGTTTTTCTATTCAACTCCCACTTTTTCAGTTTTCAACTCAACTCTGCACTATTGGTAGCTTATGGCTGCAATATTAATATCCCAGTGAGAATTTCTACTTAAATATGTGCTTTCAATAAACTTTTTGCCAAGCTACCTCTTTATTGTCCAAAATTGCGGAGATGTTATTGGATGGACTGATTAGCATGGTGTTTGAGGATTTGTTGTTGGAAGTTTTGTACCCCTATTAGTCTAATACCGTTGTTTAGTTACGCTTGCATCGCAATTCTGCTAATATAGACATTATTCTAGAAGACAAAAACCAAAGCAATGTTAAGTGTTTCAATGTTTTTCTCAATGATTTCTGTTGAGGTAAATCTCATTAGTAATCTCAGTGTAGATGGTGTAATCTTCCTTTTAATACATCATCATCTTAGCTTTGTCCCCACTATATGGTSTCAGCTACATGAATCCTGTTATGCCACTATGTTCTGTTTAGTTTCATATCTATTGTTAAATCATGGGCCCATTTCTCACCAGAACCCATGTCCTTTTTCATCTGTGCCTACTGCTTAGCTCATCTAGCTCCATCAACTTGTAACACGTGCTACACTAATACATATTCACTACTTTTTCAAAAAGAAATGTGAATGATTTCTTCTAACATAATTCATGAATTATGTGGTTTGTTTATATCGGTCGATTATAAACTGTTAAAAGTGTACTTCAGGTTGGAGAGAATGACTGTGTGATCATTATGACACATGAGCCCAATTGGCTTCTTGATTGGTACTGGAATGATACTTCTGGAAAGAATGTCTCTCACTTAATCCATGACTATCTGAAGGGGAGGTGTAAGCTTCGAATGGCTGGGGATCTGCACCATTACATGCACCATTCATCTATTCCATCAGACAAGCCTGCTCATGTACAGCATTTACTTGTCAATGGTTGTGGTGGAGCATTCTTACACCCTACTCATGTATTTAGTAACTTTAACAAATTCTGTGGAACATCCTATGAAAGCAAAGCTGCTTATCCTTCCTTTGAAGATTCAAGCAGGGTAAGTTTGGTAGCTATCTCCATATCAGGAAAGTTTGATAACTTTCTTTTTTGTTCATCAATTACAATAATGTAAACCTTTTACTAATGTAGTGTTTTCTAGTTGTATTTTGTTCTGGAAGTAATGCATTGTTTTTATACATCTGTTTAGATTGCTCTGGGAAATATTTTGAAATTCCGGAAGAAGAATTGGCAGTTTGACATTATTGGTGGCATCATATACTTTGTATTGGTCTTCTCAATGTTTCCACAGGTGAAATTTTATTATTCCTCCCAGGTTTGATTCTGCTTTCTAGGATCGTAGAAGAGTTGTTCTCTTTTAACTCCTTGAGTTCTTCCAAGTTTTGCGGGCTTGCCATGTCTGTAATCTCATTTAATGTCTAAAGAGATGGCATGGAGAAGTCAGCAAGTGTTGAACATGTATTTTAAACTAGAATTTGAAGTGTTCAATGTGGGAATCAACCATTTTAAAAGTATCCAGGTAAATGATGTCTTTTTTACCAAAAAAACCAAGGGGTAACTGAGGGTCCATGTACCATTGCTTCTCAATTAGAGATTAGTTAGTCTTATGGACTTTGTTACTAATAAGTAACTATGTGGAGATAATTAACATTTTCCTTTCTGTACTTTACAGTGTCAGCTTGACCACATCCTACAGGATGATTCATTTTCTGGTCATCTGAAGAGTTTCTTTAGCACAGTCTGGCAAGCATTTATATATATTCTAGAACATTCATACGTGTCTTTAATAGGAACCCTGCTATTACTATTCACAGCATTTATTTTTGTCCCATCAAAAGTGTCAAGGAAGAAGCGGGCAATAATTGGGATTCTTCATGTTTCTGCACACATGGCTGCAGCACTTGTTCTCATGTTGCTGTTAGAATTGGGTATTGAAACATGTATCCGCCATCGATTACTAGCAACATCAGGTATGCATTTGTGTCTGTTTCAGTATGTTTGTATTATCCAACATGTATCTTTTATTCTTCTGTTTAGCACTGTTTCATCTCTCTCACGGAGTTGTAATGCTTATATATTTCATGTATAGTCAGATCTAGGAAGCATAAATGCCATCATTTTTTTTTCTGTTAAAATGCATTTTATGACTAAGTATTGGGATCTTGTAGCTTTGGTCTGACTATTAGCTTTAGACTTGACATACAGGTACAAGAATATTTCATGGAAATATCAATTTTCATTTAGGCTCTGTTTAGTTGGATACTTGGGCCTGAGATGAAGGAAAACAATTTATTTCCACAGAAATTGCTACTTTATGGTTTTTGGTTGCACATAAAATGACAATTGAAAAGAAATGTTTACCAAAAAGTGAGTAGTAGTTGTGGCAAGCCTTCAACAAGTCATATTTCTGGACCCAGGGTGTGTTCTCTCTATTCAAATCTCCCAACATCCATGATCATTTAGTTTTTTTTCCCTCTAGTCAAACATCATTAGATTAGGAGAATGATTCATTTTCTGTTGATTATCATTTTCCAAGTAGGGAAACTCTATGCTACTGGCAAGATGTGACCCCCTTGTGAATTTTGATAAATATTACCTGTTTGGTTATCACTTCTATGATACCGGTTGATTGGTTACAAGTTTTTCTGGTATCACATCTTTCCGGTATCATAGCCGAACCCTTCCAAGTAACTCCTTCATTTTCATATATTTTAGTTACCTTCAAGTAAATACAACCTTGGGTGAAAGAACTCAAACTAAACAAAGTCTTGTCCCAACTATATGGGGTTAACTACATGACTCCTGTTATACCATTCCACTTTGTTTGGTGCCATGCCCATTGTTAAATTATGGGCCCTCAATTTATTTCTCACTATTTCAACCCTTGTCCATTTTGGCCTATCCTTTGCCCTTCTTGTCTTACACTGCCAATCCCAAAGTCTGGATAGAGGGCCGTGTCAGGTCAGGTTAGCAGACTGCATTACAAGCTTTTCTCATATCACTATGAACAATCTTAAAAAAATGTCCTAAATAACCTATACTAATTTTCAGAAATAAAATCCCATCATTATCGTTGGGAGGGTTGTAGATGGGGGGAATGTGTAGCCCACCAGAAAGACATGATACCAGAATAATCTGTATCCAATCAACTGTATTATAAAAATGGTAACTCATAAATATATGTATGTGGGACATATACCTGGAAATTTAGTAGTGTAATTTTCAGCTACTCTAGCATATAAAAATGCTGCCAATGAACTTTCGATTTTAAGATGCTAACAAGTAAGAAATCTGCTCCAGGATATCACACTTTATACGAATGGTACCGATCAGTTGAGAGTGAGCACTTCCCAGACCCAACTGGTCTCCGTGTTCGTATAGAGCAATGGACATTTGGCCTTTACCCAGCATGTATAAAGTATCTGATGTCTGCATTTGATGTTCCAGAGGTGGGCATGCTTCTCTCATTCCAGAAACTTTTTCTCAAGGTACTTCTATTAAACATATTAAAATAAATGCGGGATCATTTTTCAGGTAATGGCTGTAACTAGGAGCAACATCTGCAAGAAGGGGATGGAGTCGCTCTCCCGTGGGGGTGCCATCATTTACTATGCTTCGGTCTTCCTTTACTTCTGGGTATTCTCAACTCCTGTGGTCTCCTTGGTGTTTGGAAGCTACTTGTACATCTGTATAAATTGGCTCCAGATTCACTTTGATGAAGCCTTCTCATCACTCCGTATTGCAAATTACAAGGCATTCACCCGTTGCCATGTCACCCATGATGGTGACCTTGAAGTATTCACCCTTGCTGTTGATAAGGTAATAATCTGCTTGGACCACTTGGAGCACCTAACAATAGAAAATTTAAGTAGACTTCTTAAAATGTTGCAAGGTTTCTGAGAATTGACTTATGCCCCAACTTCATCACCTTGTCCCAGCACTATTTTAGGTTAATCATGTAGCAGTGGAGCTGGATCCTGTCAAAAAAAGGAACTTCAGCTGCAATTAACTTGAGTTTCAAATCATTAGTAATTGCTGGTGACAGTTGGTAGTTGAGAGTTTCAAATCTGGCTGGTTTAGCTTCATTTGCAGGTTCCAGAAGAATTCCTGTTGGATCAGAATTTCAAATATGGCTAATTCATCTTTATTTGCAGGTTCCAAAGGAATGGAAACTAGATCCGGACTGGGATCAGGAGCCAAGACAACAACTGAGCCATCTGAGGAAGTTTCCTAGCAAGTGGAGTGCAACTGCTGTGTCACAGGACCCAATTTCTACTGTTCGAATTGTAGACCATTTTGTTATTCAAAAAACTACTCCTGTATGCCAAACTGATTGATAGAGTGGTTGGTATTCCGTCACTTCAGCATTTAGATTGTATCAATTTTGTAACTTACATTCATTCAAAAGAAATGATAAAGGAGTAAATTCAAGAGGCCAGGTTTCTTCCCGGGCTGCCCCATTCTCACGCTGAAATTCCTTATCTGTGCAGTTGTGGAATCTAGACGAAAAAAATCTTAGTGTGTCGTTTTTAGTAATAAAGGACGTCAAGGGGCGTTCCCAGAAACAGAACATTAATGGGATTGGCCTCACTTGGTGTGACAACTTGACAAGGATGATGATGGACAGTCTGATATATGTTCACAATTAGGAATACACTTGGTTTGTGTGGTTTAGAAGTCATGTGGAATGGAATCCATTTCAATTTTCAATTAAAGCTTTCAAGAATCAAGATTTTGTTTCTACCTATTAGTTTTTTTTTTTTGGTAGAAGTGCCTATTAGCTTCAGACATCTGTATAACGTGCAATAAGGTTCAAAATATTGATAATATGATAGTATGTATCGTAGCAATACGTTTAAAAACAGATGTATTATGCTATGCTTTTGATGGACATGGGTACTTGGGTAGTGTAAAGGACGCGGATATGTGTTGCCTTGAGTCCTTAACCATGTAACATAGTGTTACGTAAAACCCAGAAATACAGATTCTAATGGTGCAAAAAAAAGGAAATAAAACAGAGATCATAAAGATGGTAAAAATAGAGCACACAGATGGAGGAGTAGAAATCCACTATAGAAAAATGGCAATGGAGTATACAAAAATTGAGCGGCAAACTAAACTAAAGCATACATAATAGAGAATGTCCTAACAATGTAACATAATGTATTTGGGTCAGGCCCAACCCTTCTATTTCCACCACAGACCACTATGAAGTTTTGCCTCTAGATTTTCAGCAACTAAAGAATTTAAGGCTCAACTCAACACAGTCTATTAGTTTCATCTTATATGGTACGTAGTTGACGTGCAGTCATACTCGTACATCTTTGTTCTATTAACACTTCTGACATGATTTCTTCCATCTGATCTGATGCAATTTTGCACGCAAATGCGATGGGGTTAGGTACGACGGTGGATTTCCTTTGATCCATCAAACGCTTCTTTTGTGCATTGATACAAGTTGTGACTTGCAAATGAATTCCCTTTGTTCAATAATTCCAAGGCATTCCAAGTTCCGACTCGATTCCTTATGCTCATTGAGCGTATTGTGGGAAAAGGCCAAAACGGCTGGTTTTATTCTGACCTCTATGGTTTGGTTGGCTTCATAATCAGGGATGCCAACTTTGACCTTTTGCTTATTAATGCCAATGGCACTTCGGCACCTAATTTACTACACCATGTTAGGTGCACAATTCAGTAAGGTTTTAAAATCGACGACCCAGGAAAATATATATCTCGTACTGCATCCCAAGTTTTCTGAAACAGATTGTTCTTCAGGACTCTGGTGCATGGAACCAAATTTATAATTTGCTAGTAAGAAGCCAAGAAGTGGTTTTCTGCGTAGATGTGAAATTGTGAATGCATTTGCAATTTTCACTTTTTCAGGCAAGAAGATGGTGAACTAGAAGTTGTACTCATAATATTAGACTGGATAATTTAGAAAAAAAATCAAATTCTTGTCTTCTTATATGATTGAATGTCTGAATATTTCTTGTGTATAAACTTTGGGTGTCTCAAATGAGTCGCAATAATTAAAAAGAGTTGAATAAACCGAGTTTTTCAACTTGCCTAGTCTGCCAAAAGGCTGAGCAATCTAATGCCAGCTTTTCCTCTTATTTTTTATTCTACATATCTCAAGTAGGCAAGCGGAAAATAATGCAAACTGGTAGAAAAAGGTGATCCAAGTAAGATCTGAGATTGTACTTCTGAGATTTTGATATTCACTCAGATTGATTAATTTAAATTTTACATGACGTCCTTGTGTGAAAAAAAAAGATAAAAAGAAAAAGAACAAAGGGCTCAACCAAGTGTAAATTGGGAGGATTGAACTCATTGAAGGAAACAGAAAAAAAGGAAGCATCAAACCTGTTGCCGCGACCAAAATTTTCAGGGAGTGGGATTCTATTCTTTGCTCTTTGTGACAAAAAAAAAAAAAAAAAAAAAAAAAAAAAAAAAAAAAAAAAAAAAAAAAAAAACAAAAACAAAAACGAAAGGTGTAATTTACATTACCCAAGTGTTGTGAGGTCAACCACATTTAATAGTCTGCGTGGAGGAAACTCTCATACTGTGTCCCCTTCAATGTTTTGTGGACATCATCCCAGTTTACAACCTGATTTGATAAGGTCCCCTTGTGTATCTTCACCTGACGGCTCTTCAGATCCATCTCTGGCACTCTCAAGAACTCTTGAACATCTATCAGCTTCTGCAGAAAAATGTTCACAGAAAATGACTACAGAGTAGGACCATGACATTATACAAAGTAATGCATACATTGACATCAGAAATAGAGGATTAGTGGCAATGCCAGATAATAGATTTCTTACTGTATGATTGGTTACAAGATCTTCATAGTAAAGAATGGTGTGGCGTGTACTACTGAAATATTCTAAAGCCTTGGCAGCTGTGTCCTCCACTTGCTTCAGATCGGATATCAGTAGTGTGGCATTAATTATGGGCTTGTAATTTGCAAGTATCTTAGCCTGTAACCAGTCAACAATTGTCAATTATCAAAAAAAAAAAAAAGTCAACAATAATGAATCAAGATCTTGCAGGTGTGTGTGTATGTGAGAGAGTGAGAGACCTCATCTAGTGAGTGCACATGAGACTTGTGAGTCCCATTTAGTAGCTTAGCATCTCGATCGTAAGAGTTTGCGAGAACTGAAATCATCCTGCGCAGAAGATTTCTTCGGAAGAGGAATATTGCAGAAACACCTCTCCTATTGAAGTACTCCACTATTGCTTGGTGATGCTCCATCACACCCTGTCATGACAATGGCAATGGCAACACATGTCTTCATCAACGTTTTCACTCACAAAACATAACAAATGGAGCCTATAATACCCACATATACTATGGACATGGCCTTGGTATATAAGTGGAAGAAGACTTGGAAAATTATAGTTAAGCATCAAAATCAAAAACAGCAACCAGAGTTGATGGATAGAACATGGCACAACATATAATTGTATGGCCACATATGATGAATATATCCTTGGAGAAAGTAAATCAAGTAGAACTTTTTTTTCAATTTTTATGCTCAATTATAACAAAGGTTTTATGTTTGAATTGCAAAATTAAGTTTAACATATCAAAGATGCAAGTGGAGAAGATTATTCAAAGGAAAGTAATTTTTTTCATGTTGTTAGTGCTTATCCACATACCCAGTGAAGAAGAAAACAATACTATCTAGAATTAGTCTATTGGACACAATGTTTTTGGGGCTCAGTTGTAATGCTTCAAGATTTACTTCTTGGTTTGCCTTTGTTGTAATGCCTATCTTTGTAATGGGGTAGCCGAGGCTACCCAAAGCTGTATCTATTTCTCTTTTTAATAAAATTTTTCATGGTATTGATAAAAAAAGGAATTAATCTATTGGAGTAAATCTTGTTAAGGTAAATCACCATCCTTATCAGCAAAAAGGCAGCAATATTAAGCACATTTCAACATGAAAAGAAATCATCAGTAGAAAAGTCAATGATATGGTGAAGAAAATAACATGCCCCCCCCCCCCACCCCACACACACACACACATAGAAAATGAAAAGAAAAGAAAATTATTGATGATTAAAAACCAAATAAAGATAATGGTGCATTCAAACAACTGAAGATTAAGTATTCTACTTATTCTATATATTTCCAAATACATTGTAGAAGCCATTCTCTTCAAGAGGATTGGTAGTTACTAGTTAGTGATGCAGATATGACAAAAAATACACTGTTCAGATGGATACCTCATTCATCTAACTCTTTAGCCGACCCTCTTGTTAAATACGGTTAGCATATGGGAAAGTATTATTACCTTGGCATGTGGCAAAGTGTCATCCAATTGACAAGAATCAGTATGGATCCAATGTTAGCATGACTATATCCATTGGTTTTGAGGTGTCCTATTAACAAAGGAAGAAAGTATATATGCTCATTTCTGACCCTAATATGTTAGAAACTAAGCACAATTTTACTGTCATTTTATGAAGCATCTTTTCACTGAGACTCTATGTAGCCAGCCTGAATTCACCAGGCAAGCAATCTTACCACCTTGAAGCACTGACATATTAAAATCTCTTCTGTGCATATCATTAAAGTTTTGCCTATAAAAAGGAACTGAGCCACAAAGCAGCAACTTTAAAACATAGGGCTATGACAACTACCTTTAATTAAATTATTAAATACAAGTTTCCACTATCCAGTACAGTCCCCCCTCCCCATTGTGGAATACAAGGTTAACATGATAAAGTCTTCACATTACTTGAGTATATAAATCTCTGATTATCCATGTTTAAGACACCCTTGTTTTGAAAATTAATATAGATACATGAGGAGTTATACCCAAAGAACTCAGGACCAAATCTTCATATGCAGAATATTTCCTTCTATCTCAGCAAGAACAGATGTAAAAGGATAAGGTCATAAGACTAGAAGAATACTGTCAAACTCTGTATAAAAAAATGACCAAGTAAAGAACAGAGGAAACACAAAACAAGTGCTGCAATCTCTCTCTCTCATAAAATAGGATTTTTTTATCATAAATTCCATTAAAAAATTCACCTGATTAAGCATCCACTTGAAGCCAACTGCAGCTGAGCACTCATTCTTGGATGCACTACTGAACCAGTCCAGATTATAAACTTTATCCAGTGTCTTCACTATTGCTGAAACATTACTCCTCCTGTCTTTTGCAGAGAAGATTTCCCCATTTGAGCTTACGTTAATATGGCTGTTCAACAATGTTTCAAACCATCCACTCCCGGATCTCTGCATCGACAAGATGGCAAAGAATCGCACAGGATTGCATTTGCACTCATCTCTGCTAAATGCACCAAAACTAACAAATGAGTAAATCCAAAATGTGACCACAAATTCAAACATTGGGAAAAGATGTTTCTATTACCTGCTATAGGTGTTGGGTTTTGGGTAATGTACATACGGAATTTCCCATTCTTCGATACGGGAAGCATGACAAGGCCTATCGATCACCTGGACGCTTACCATCTTTGTATGGGTGTTGATTTGTTTTAGACAGATTGAGCATATATAAACACCACAAACCATTGCAAACATTAACACTACCATCCTCAATACCAATGGAGATTTCTTGGGGGGCTTTATGATGAGGGCATCCTGTAATCAAAAGTTAACTCTGATGTTATTACGATGACCCAAGGGTGTAACCCAGTTACACACTCCTCCATCTGAGATGGCTAGAGAAGAAAACTTTTTTAAGCAAAGAAAAAATAGGAAAAAGAAACATGTGCCCAGATCATCATTGTAACAGAAAATGATTTTTGCAAGTCATGAGAAATTCAAACTAAAAAAAAAAACTACAAATTCCATCTTAACCACACCCCATAAAAATCTACAACAGAGAAAGATAATAGAAAGGCAATGTGGGTTTCATTTTGTTTTGAATCCTCTTCAACAAAATGAAGAAAAAAAATGCAAACTTTCTCCTGTCAAATCCTCTACACAAGTATAAACCCATCTGTTGGACTGTTGATCATGCAAAGGAAGATGGAAAATGATAAACAAAAACATAAAAAAGGAAACTTTCAAGAAAACTCACAGCTTTTACCCAAACAAAATCTCTGAAAAAAAAAGAAAAAAAAAAGTAAAAGAGAAATAAAGGAGAAGAAGCTGCATATAACACAGACCTTGCTGAAGAAACATACATCCTCTGCCATCCTTTCTGAAAGGTAGAAAGGGCATGTGGAGTTGAGGTTCTTCTCTCTTTCACACACACAGATACACTCTATTTCTCTTCTCTGCAACTTAGCATTAGGCAGAGACAGAGGAGTTTCTGTCTTGAGCTATTTCTTTTCCTTCTCGACTTCTTCGTCGCTCTAAATCTATTTTACTTAATTATTTATTGTCGTTTGCGTAGCGAAACCCCGTCATCTGACCGAGAACACCACCACCACCATCAGGGAAAACAAACATAGAACAAGTCTAAATTAATAGAGGCCGATGCCGAGGTCCGAGATACAACGCACAAGCGTGACATAAATAAAATCTATATGTAAAAATAAAAACAAAATAAAAAGCAACATTAAAACAACTTTCTCGCTTTGTGTTATCTGCTTTAGATACTATCCATAAATATAATTATGAACTTTCAGTCTATAATCTGATGTAGAATTGTACCTGCATTTGGGTTCATAAATATTTATTAAATTTGCGCAAGGAAATTACAAATAGTCCGATTGGGTTTGGGTCTCCTTTTCTTTTGTTTAATTCCTTGGATTTAGCCTCCTACTAACAGCTAACTCAAACAAGTAGGGTAAGATGCCAAGGTGGAAATAACAGATTTTCTAGTTCTCTATTATTAGCTAAAGACTGTCTATTTTAGTACAAGTCACCCAGAAGCTCATTCCAAATTAACTCATATAAGCAAGTTCAACCAATAAAACCTTAGTTTCTCCCACTGATTAACTTTGTATTTGAATTTTAGTTAATTATCAAGAGAGCTCTGATTAAGTTCAACTCTTAGGTGGGTGATCCTTTTCTCCCACCTTGTTGTAGCTCACAAGGGTGGGTGGGAATGGGATAGGATCATAGGATAGAACTTGGTTCTTTTAGGGATATCATTGCTCTAAGTTGTTGTTTTCTTTTTTCTCTCTTTTTGGTGGGAAAACCTGCTCTAAGTTGAGTGAAGGGGAAGGAAAGAGCCCACTGTTGGCATTATTACTCCTGTTGCCATACAATTATTTAATTAGAGTATGGGCTTGTTTAGGGTGTTGAATAAAATTTTACTTGAAAGAGAAGAGAAATTAAATGCAGAGATGAGAGAAGAAATTGAAGTTCAGTTATCAGTTGGGCTGTTTGAATCTCCACCAAGAAAGATAATGGCTTTGGAGTAGTACTAGTCCAATCCATCTCCACCCTCCTAAGTTGCCCAATTTGTTTGTTTGTTTGTTTGTTTGTTAACCATTTTGACATTTCTGTAAAGAAGAAACAAAGTACATTGAAGTAGACAGGCGAATTGATAGAAAAGCTCATATAGCCTATATTCTCTGGTCCATTGGACGTGCACCCCACACTTGTATGACCCACCACCCCCTGGCCCCTCCTCTGTGTTTTCTTTTTCATTATTTTTTCTATATTATATCTAATTGCAATATTTTTTGCTAATTTATATTTAATACAATTTTTTTAATTTATAAATTTTTAGTAGAATTGGCGTTATCTCTCCGTTTGTTTTATAACAACTCCGAAATGTGCGGGTTTTGATTACGACTTGACTAACGGGTAATTTCTCTTAGATTTGGAATTGGTCTTTAATCTTGAGGGATCATATCATGCATCCATTTTTATCAATAAACTCTGTAAGTAGAAAATCCTAACCGTCGGATGTATTGAGTGGGAGTACATGCAAGAAGGCCACGAAATTTCAAAGAGAGGTTGTTGTTAAAAAAGTAAGTCAAATATGAAAGAAAGTCAAACACAAAAGGGAACCCATGCCTAATTGCCTCGCCTAGATTGAAGACTCTCCCCGTGGACCGCGGTACTTGGATAGGGGTCAACTCGGTTGGTTTCATCCGCGTTCTGTTAATYGGACGAGTGCACCCACCAATGAAAGGCGAACACGCCATTTCGTCAGTAGTAACCGCGAATTAATGAAGACTTTCTCCGTTATCCGTGGGTTTCGCTGGTTGAACCGGCCACACAAAACACGATTTAGTCTTCCTTTTCATGTTATAACTCGATGAAAAGGGATTGGTTGTGATTTCCTGTGTCCGGCAAAGGGCCATTTTGACATTTCCTGTGTCCGGCAAAGGATCAACTAGTGATCAATGGTAAGTTACTGCTCTTCCACTAACATCCCTGCAAGGCTGCAATTGGTTTCTCCACCACGAAGTCCACATGATTTAAACCGCTCTCTCCCATTTCAATTGTGATTTCCTGTGTCCGGCAAAGGGCCAACGGCTATGGATGCAGGAGTAAGCCGTTGTCGAACCCACACTATGCTCAGGAATAGAGATAGGAAAGCTGTCAACGGCGTTAACGACTTCAACGTTGGCGAGCATCGGAGCCACAACAACGGAGACAGCAAGACGACGGAAATGTCTTCTTGGGTTTAGGGAGGGGGAGTTCGAACTCGTGAAGGTAGATGAATGGGTTTTGTCATCCGATTGAATCAGACGGAATCAATTGACGGACCTCCAAACTTGATTGTTACACATTCGACGCCGAGCTCGATGTGGCCAAATGCAATCAGCGGGTGCACTCGACCAATGCACCCATGGGTGCACAGAATGCGGAATCCGTTTTCGGCTATTCTACTTCTAAACCTAAAAGGACCTTTTTCCTTTTGTTTTGTTCCAACTCCAATGTTCCGTTTGGCTTGAGGGTGTAAATATAAAAAATGTAAAATTGGTTTAATTTATAATGATAATTTTGTATTTTTTATCTTGTGATAGTAGATGCAAACATAAATCCTAAGATTGAAATTCACTTTTTCCATATATTGATGAGCTTTGAATGTAAAGAAAAAAAAAAAAAACTTGCACCCATTTTTTAAATGCATATTTTGTTCTCATTTTAAAAGCAAATACGTCTTTGTAATAAGTAAATGTTGTCATTTACATAAATACCTTATTACCAGATAAGATATTTACAAAACTGAAACAGAATGTATAAATGCATCAACCGTCACTTGCATTCTTTCCAAATGGAACCTTAAGGCTCAGTTTTAGAAGAGTACAAATATAAAATACACACAGTGAAGGAGCGAAATTCAAAGTCGGAATTGATGAAACAAATTGCACTCGTGGATGTGGGGGGCCTGTCTTGTTTTGTCAGAACTTGGAACGCGCTTCAAGGAAAAAAGAGTGAATACAAGGAGGAAAAAAGAGCGCAGTGCCGAAGAAAGGCCCGAAACGAAACAACACGCTCGTATCGTCGGGAAGCTTCTTCAATTTCAAATTCTAAAATCTACAGTCTAGAAGAAGAAACATAAGTTTAAATTCCGACCAGCACGTGAGCATGTACGGATTCTGAACAAAAATAATGTTCAGATTCATCCGAACCGTCCAATCTCTGCAATCAACTCTGGTCTTTGAAAGTCGTCTGAACGGGTTGATAATGGTGTTGGTGGTCCTGACTCCTGACTCCTGACTCCTGAATATGAATTCATCAATGAACGATGACTGGAGTGGGTCACCGGGTTCAATGTCTTAATGAGCAGAAATTCGGGTTAGGAATGCAAATGGATCGGATCAGGATGGGCATCTCAATCTCATATCAATTCGAATTCATTTAGGACGTCGAATATCCGAATCTATCTCAATTCAATTTGAATGCCCATATGTTTATAAAATYTAATAAGTTATTAAAAAGAAAAAAAGTAAAATAATTTATACAAAGAAAAGTCGATAATGGATAAGGCGATGATTCAAATTCAATCCGATTTTTAAATGAATCCTATTTATTTAATCTAATCGGATCCAAAAATTCTAAGCATGAGGATATATGAATCCGAAAAATTAAGATAGGATTTGAATTTGAATTGAATCATGATCCACTCCATTTACACCTTAGTGGGTTTTTCAAATACCGTTGACACCCCTAATGATTTGTAAGTATAATACCTCAAAAACTCAATTACTCTTTCGGTAATTTAATTGTTAGAAGATCTTTTTAAAAAGACTTATCATACGACACCTAAAGCCATCGGAATTTATGTTTAACACGTGAAAAGCTTAGGTCCATATTTCCTTGTTAAAACATTTTTATAAATAAAATATATTTTTGGTTTGTGTGAAATTCTAAAAAGAATGATCAATGGTGTTGGAATTTAAAAGAGAAAATTCTTAGCTGGCGTGGGAGTCTTATCCTAAGATTAAAAAGAAATTGAGTTTACATGTTATTCTAAATTCTGCGCAGGCTAGACTGGAATTATAAATCTAAAATGGATTTATCCATACATTTYTCTAAAAAAAGCGAAACCATCATTATCTTCATTATGAGACCCACCATGAAGGGGGGAGAGAGAGAGAGAAAGGCAACCCCATTTATTTATTGGGATTTTTATTTATGAAAGAAGAGAATGGTAGAGAACGTGTCGTATCATCTCAGCCTCTGAGTGAGGGAGAAGCCGAGAATTAAGTGAGAACCAAGGATTAAGGAAGCGACGCAAGCGGCGACATAGAAGAAACAAATCGGGGTGGGTGAGGGAGTGAGGGTAGAGTGCTAAGTGCTAACATATCCATTCCATCATTTCCATTGATGAAGTCCACTCCCACCTCTCCACCTGTCACTTGAGGCTGCCCCCGAGCTTAGAACCAGGACCCTGGATCCAGCTGCATATACACTACTGCTCCGGCCCTCCCTGGGAGGCTGGGAGTCTAAAGCAATTTCACACAGCTCTCCACTCGACCAAACAACCGCTACCTAGATCCGTTTGAAACTGGGACTTGTGTCTCTTAGCCTCTTAGGTAGGTACGGTTCAACGATTCATTGACAATACTCGGGGGGGTAGGGGTGTTACCGGAGCTGATGCAATTTACATATACTGTTCAAAATCCTGATGCAATTTATACCGTATAGTTGCCTTCCACGAGATTCGGGATCTCATATCATATCAGAGTATCAGATTAATAGTATTCAATTCAATAATGAAGATGCAATTAAACGAAACGAGATGTATGGTTGTGTTGCAATGGTCAAAATCGTACCTAGGTACCTGCCTGCCCCCTGATTAAAAAAATTAAAAAAAAAAAAAGTGGCAAAGATTCTGATTTCTGATTAGCGCCCACATGGCCATGTCAGACCACGTGTGACACTTTGATTTGATGATCGTCTGCCGACTGGAATTCCAGCAAGCTTGTTAGCTGTCGGTACCTGGAACCATACAATCCATAGTGTGGGGCCGGCGGGCTCTCCTATCTAAATCTAATTGCTAATAAATAAATGCTAACGTAAGAAAATGTACAATTGTTTTTTATTTTTTACGGCAAGAAAATGTACAGTTAAACATAAACAAGCATTTACCAATATATGCTCGACCACATGGCCCACAATACATCAAATGAATGGATCATATCATCACCATCTGAATCCAATTGTAGTAGTAAGGTTTGAGTCATTATAATTTGCAATCAAATTCAAAGCAAATCCACCATGCATGGTTCGACGAACTCCCTTACTTGTGTATGAATGTTTTCTTATATATTATATAAATATAGACAACGTCCAATCACATAAACGGTAGTCTATCTATCTAATCTTTTGATGTTAAAGGGAGGACTGGGTTTCTTTGTTGGCATTTAATTATGTTTCTTAGCTTGACAATGGAACACCCCTTCATGGCTTCATTGACAAGTAAAAGAAATTGCTCAAACATACGAAAGCTAAAAACTAGTTGAGAAAAACCACGGTCCAATTGGCAATTGGGTCAAGTAAAGAGCTTTCCCACACGAATGACGACGAATCCACACATTTCATATAAAGCCGAAAGATCTTTGTGGCCCCCACCCCTTCCACATCTGACACTCCTGCAGACTGCCCCATCCATCACATAACAGTCCATATTTACCGGTTCGCATCTCCGCCCCACACAATGCACGCGGTGGGGCGGGCAAACTGCGAGTTTATCCCATATTCCCGCCCCTGCCCTGAACCTCGAATCGGAGTCTCTGACCCCGTTTTAGCCCGAGATCGGATCTCTGCCTCCATCTTCGGTACCGGTGATCGCTCCGGTCACCAGGTAGACTCCCAGACGGCCAGACCCCATACTCCTTAGCTTAGAGCTTCCTATCCACTTTACTCCAATATTGGACCGGAAACGACCACCAGGATTTAGGAAGCAGGAAACCGTTGTTTTGTCCACTTCGGCCTGGCCCTGGTGCCTGCCCACTCTTCTCTTTCTATATTTCGAGACTTTCTCCTCTCAGACAATTCTCTTTTTTCTCTCTACTCGTTCGTTCGTTGGTTTCGTGCATATTAATATACGCAGTAGACAGTACAAAGAAGAAGCATTCAATCCAATACAAACTTACCTCTTCATTTAATTTAGACCTCTCCTTCTCTCACCACCCATCTCTATATGTATATGTCAGACACTCATACCCCTCCTCGTTCTTCTTCTGTGTATACGCCAATGCCTGCCGAGCCATCTCTCCTCCTCTTTCTCGTCCTCATTATTTCCGCCCATGGCCATGGCGACGGCGCCGTCCCCTCTCCGTCGTCAACCGACGAATAATGTAATTATAATTTGTTGAACCAAGCGAGTGTCAAAGATGAATAATGTAATTATAATTCGGTAGTGTTTATCAATAAAACCATTACTATTTCAGAAATTGGGTTCTTATTCCTTTATTTTTCAAAAAAAAAAGGAGGAAACCTTTAGAAGAGGCAGAATTTGAAAAAGAAATGGTTGATGAGGTTGTATCTCTCTGCTTGTTATTTCCCAGTTCCACCGAGAACATATGGTACTAATTCCTCTATTGCCGACAGGAGGTGCTGAGCCTCAACCTTAGCCTAGTAGTAGAAAATACACCGGCACTAGCAGCCACGGAACAACCAGTCAAATCACAATTTCAGGTTAGTGTGGAGTCTAGAGTGTGTGAGGAGGATATATATTATGCATTAATCATATATTGTTGTACGCAACTAACTGATATTGGCTTGCACTGACGCCTCAACAAGTTGTTCATAACAGAAGAGACGACCACTTCGACTGCGTGGAGACATCCCTTGCGAATGTTCATTCGTTAGGATACAACATTTTGTTAATCGTGGCATTGTGTTTCCATTCTGTATTCCAAGGCATCGCAATCGGGGTTGCAGAGACAAAGGCCGATGCTTGGAGAGCTTTATGGACGGTCAGCCTACACAAAATATTTGCAACTGCTGGCATGGGAATAGCCCTGCTGCGGATGATCCCTGATCGCCCTCTCTCATCATGTGTAGCGTATGCATTTGCCTTTGCTATATCAAGCCCTAGTGGGGTGGTCATTGGGATTGTTATAGATTCCACAACATGGGGCGTTGTGGCAGATTGGACATATGACGTATCCATGGGACTGGCTAGTGGTGTATTCATCTATATCTGCGTCAACCACATGCTGTCCAGGGGTTACACGTGTACATCTTAGAGTCAGAGATAGAGGCAGAGGTAGGGCGAATCGTCATTCTGCAATTTCCTAGCCATGTTGTTTGGCGCCGGGGTGATCGCCGTGGTGATGATCTAGGACACAGTCCATCGACACTAGCTAGTGAGAGTTTCAATTACCTGCCACCACCTCTGTTTTTTTTTTTTTTTTTTCAATTAGGTGAGACTAGCCAGTGTAGCTCCAATCTCTGTTTTTCAATCTGGGACACAACTACAACGAGGATTGGAGCTTACCTAGTGACCGAAGCGATCATCGGTGCCGGAGATGGGGGTAGAGATTCGAGCTTGGGCTATAACAGGGGTTAGAGCCTCCAATTTGAGGTTCAGGGGGCAGGAATATGGGAGAAGCTCGCACTTTGACATTTTGAGATCATTTTGGGGCTAACGGGCAGGGCTAACATCCGTCTTGTTAGCCCTGCATGGGGGAATGCCCCACTACGTGCGGCTGGACAGGTGTCAGTTGCACGTTATGTGGGGCAAGGCACGGTGGGGTGGAGATGCAAACTCCCAGCCATATGCCCACCTTGTACTAGTAGCAAAGTTCAAAATATTGATACACCCGATACTCCGATAGGGGCATATCGGGTGATATCGATACTTTTTTTTAATTTTTTCAAAACCGGTTCAGGGGAGGCGATTTAAGGCTCATCCACCCTCTGAACCAGTCAGAACCCTGATACACCCACTATAAGAGCATATCGAGAAGGTCCCGGAATGATACGTATCGGCCGATACGTGTCGATACTTTGAACTTTGATTGGTAGTCTTTCCAACTGACTGGCCCTTATAGTGAGGGAGAAATACACGAAATGGAGGAGGATCAAATAGGGGAGGTAGCACTTGAAACTGTTTCTCCTCCACCCTATTCTCCCCCTGAGGAGAAACAGAAAAAAAAAAATCACTCTTAAAAAAAGACACATCCATAGAAACATAGTATTTTTGAGAAACAGGGTCAAAACAACGGTAAACATTTTGAGAAAAAGGTTAGCCCAAGAATACACAAGGAAGAGCACAAAGGTCAAGTTTACCATGAMTAGTAGACAAGTTTTGAACAAAACAACGACAACCAAACATACAAATGGGAATAAAAAAGATAGGAGCTTTAAGGAATAGGAGCTGATAAAGCGCCTTGTACCCTAACACATGAGATGGCATACGATTGATGAGATAGGTAGCACAAAACACATCATCCAACTAAAAACATTTTGGAACACTTGTATGAATGAATAACCTATGAGCCACTTCAAGTAGATGATAGTTTTTTCTTTCTTCAATGCCATTTTGTTGGAGAGTTTTGGCACAAGAGCTATAGTGGATAGACCCACACAAAGCAAAAAACTCCATGAGATCACTGTGGAAGTAATCCTTGGTATTGTCAGATTAGAAAATTTGGATCTTTGTCTAAAATTGAGTGAATATCATGTGTTGAAAATCTTTTACAATCTTTAGTACTTCATCCCCGAACCGCATGGGATACACCCATATATATCTAGAATAGTCATCAATATAAGTAATGAAATATTTATAGCTAAGTTCATATGGTAAAGTAACAGAGCCCCATACATTAGAATAAACAATATGGAAAGGAAAATTGGATTTATTATTTCTTAAAGATAAATGATTTTCACAATATTTGCTCAACAGACAAGTTTGACATTTGAATATAAATTCAAAAAGAAGGGATATGGTTCCTTGACTAACTGTGGTGAAAAAAGAACCATTAACTAATCTCACTTTGTCCCTACCTAATAAAAAATGATAGGGTTGAAAACAATTTGACTTATCCGTTATATGGTTTTAGGCTCTAGAATCAATTATCCAAGAAGAATCAGATGAATGGGAAGACACATGGAAAGTGGTGGCAGAATTACCATTACTTGAAGTAGATGCAAAAGAAGTCGAAACAGAATCTATCTGGCGGATTGCTCTTCCATAAAGATTCAAGTGGTCACAGAAAGAATTAATGATATCTTCCTAAAGATCAACAACGGATGGGCAGTCCTAGTCGATAGTAGTAGATGACTAAGGTGCCTGAGAGGCCAGGTTTGCYGTATTGAACTTTTTCTGATTCGGTTGTCCCAACTTTTTATTCTGGTCTGATTTCTTACACAACTCCTAAGCCCACTTTGGCTTTCCATGGAGGTCCCAACAAGTATTTCGAGTATGTTTGCCCTTCTAGCAATGAGTGCACTATAATTTATCCTTATCATCCACTCTCTTCTAAAAGTCAACATTCTTAAAGGAATTATTGCCTTCTACACCCACACTCCCTTTATCCACTAAGGCAATCTGCTCCCCCTTTGAGCTATTCATCACACTCTACATGCTCTCTTCGGATTGTACTAGAGCATTCACTTCTTCAAATGAAAGAAGATCTTTACTTCCTAATATCTAAACTCTAAGGGACTCGTATACAAGGCTCGGCCCCAAGAGGAAGGCAAAGACCTGTTGTTGGGAAGCCATAAACTTGAATGCCTTAACATTAGCATCATACTTCTAATCAATGTTTTGATAATGATCTAATTCTTTCCATATTGAAGTCAAATCTGAATAGTAGTATGAGATAGTCCTCTCCCCCTACTTACAAGTAGAAGAGGCAGTTTGCAACTAGTATATTTTGGCATAAAACTCATGTTAAGTCCCACACTCACTCCACCTTGATTGGAGGACCTACTAGACAGGATAGAATCTTCAAAAGACATGTTATAAGATTTAGGTTCACAAATCAGTTCAATTCAAAATCAGTCACAGTTCAACCACAATTCATTCACAATTCAGTTCAGCCACAGTTCAATCTCCAATTCAGTTCAGTCAAGAATAAATTATAGGGATACCACACATATAGGAAAAACTTGCTTGCACACTGCTGAAAGACACTTCAGAGACAAAAAGAGGGCAACTCTGAAGCTAGGCTGACTTTGCATGTACCCTTTCATCACTTTTCTTGGATAGCCGACTACTGTCTTACAGTTACAGGTCATTTAGACCTACACCACCCAATTACCTGGGTACAAAAAAAAATCAGGATCACACGATTCACAGTTCAAAGAGAACATAGCAGTTTCAGGTCATCTAGACCTCCAAAACCCACTTACCTAGGTACAAGAGAGGATCACACAATTCACAGAAGAAGAAAGATATGTCTTCACAGCACCAGAGTTCCCTTCCTTTAAGGGTTTATTGGCACACGACCAAGGAAGAAGAGAAGAGGACTAGTAGAACCCCCTTCAGATCAGTCTGATCTACTTCTTGATCAGATTCATCCACAGCAAGGTGAAGTAAAAAAAGGAAGGATTGAGAAGACTTATTCACTCTTTCTAACCTCAGAATACCCGCTATGGTRCCATGTTTTTGTTTTCCATGTTAAAGATATCAGAGAAGGAGAAGAAGAGAAGAGGAAGGGAGAAGAGAAAAATTTGAGATTCAAATCACATAGCTAGCGGCACCAGCTATTAGCTTTTATATTAGGGCAACCCAACTAATAATAAAAATAAGTAGAATTACAAGAGTGCCCCCTACGGATATATATACACACACACTATATATGTGTGTGTGTATTGTTTTTAACTCAGTTTGGAAGGAGTATAAATGCAAATATGTAAAGTGCAAATACATATAAAATATAAGGTTTTGCACTCTACATATTTGCATTTGTACTCCTTCCAAACTGAGCCTAACTACAAAATATAGAAGCAGTACAAAAGGTTTGTGCTATATTTAAGACTTGGTGATAAGGAAAAAGTGCAAGGAATTTCCTGCACTATCCCTAGTTGCCACGATGAATTAAGATCATACCTTTTTGGAAAATCTCCCAACTACATGACCAAATCTGTCTTTGTTTTCAATCCAGTGATCATTTCTATGGTCCTCTAATCCTTTTCTTTGCATTTTTTCACAGTTTTGGATTGTTCAATTAGGATGACAACAGGGCACTGAATCTTGAACTGGCAATCTTTGTAGTTGCAACAACATTGACAATGGTTTTCAAAACACTGATGACAATGCAAGATGTATCTCAGTCCCTCTTTCCTTGGTCCATAAGAGGGGACTTGCTGAAAGATCCTTCAAAATAATGAGAATCGGCTGTTAGCTTGCACCTGGAAAAACTTGAAATCTCTAGAATATAGCGCTCTGTTATAAAATGATCAAGCGGACTATCTGCCCCGAGAAACGGAAAGACTTTGCTGCCTCTTTCAAGCATTTGTTCTTATCATCTCGTGACCAATGCTGCAATATGACAAATTCTAAGAACGCAAAAGAAAAATCCAATAACAAAGTTTTTTAGCAACATGCCAATGCTAGGTGTGTCCATGAAAAACCAAAAAACCAAACCGGAAAATGTGGTTAACCGAACCGATCGGTTAGGTTTCAGTTTGGTATTTTTGAAAAACCAAAGGATCGGTTTGGTTTTCGGTTGCCCTAGAAAAAACTGACGATTAACCGAACCGACCGGTATATATATTTATATTTATATTTTAAACATATGCCATATATTATATTTATAATAATCTATTTATAAATATACTATATATATTATATATTTTTATAATATTTATAATATATTATATATCATTTATTATTTATAATATAATATTATACATATATTTATATAATATATATTATGAATTTAAAAAACTGAAAAACTGAAGAACCGAACCGGTTAAAAACCAAAACCGACAGACTGGTTAACCGGTGGTATCGCTTTGGAGAAACTGAAAAACCGGTAGGATTGGTTTGGTTTGCAAAAAGTGTCCAAGGTTCGGTTAACCGAACTGTGGACACCCCTAGCCAATGCATCTTAAATTTACTTATCTTTTATGAATAACCACAATGAAATAATTCAATGATTGTGATAAGTCAGATCCACGTAACTGTCCAAGGCCTTTACCTCTCCAAGCTTGTTCAGCTTATCCCTGACACCTTTCAACAACTCTTGTGCATCCCCTTCCCATCTGAAAAACTTCAATTCCCTCCCTTCCAGAAGCTTCTCTGAAACCTACAAGCAACAATGCAGAAAGAATGGGTATATGTTTCCTTGTACATACAGAAACCATGTCTCCTACCTAACATTTTGAGCTATGGGATGGTTGGAGTTGTAGCATAGAGTCTTCAGAAATGTTCATGGCCGAATAGACACAAACTAGATAATCAGATTAGATATGGTGAAAGCATTGGGAGTAAGGGCAGGAGGAGCAGCACATTCAACATTAACATGACAGGCAATATCCATGACCCTTTATCAGAGTTACTTTTTAACCAAATCCAGTTGTACATGCATAAGATATTTTAGTTTACCTTTTTCTTTGACATGGTTGCATATTTAAACCTCTACTCAAGATAGACTGAAGGAACAGTCTTTAAACCAGTAAAACAGATGACTCTTTTCCAGTTTACCTCTATCATAATCATATATTTCTAGAGAAAGACAAAATAGGTGTTAAGCTATGTAAGAGCACCATTTCATTTCCTGAAAGTTGGTTCTGCTGGAGAATATGTTGCATTCTTGTCTAGGACACATACCAAACTTTTCCATTAAAAGATTCCATTTCAGGTATTTGGAAATCAACAAATAAGAGGCAAAATATTAGGTCATCAGAAGCCAATAGAGTGCGATGGATGTTATGTTGTATTCTTATGCATACTTAACTTTTCCATTAGACGGATATATTTCAGGTAACCAGAATTCAGCAAGGAATAAAACAAATATCGGTGTTCAACAACAACAAGCTTTGATTTATCAAGGTATCTAAATTGCATGATTTGGTCTTTCACTCATGAGACCTGGACCTTTAATACTTGCAGAGTAGTTATCAACATAGTAGAGACAAATGTTGAATATACTTGAACTATGTGTAAATATGAAAAGGCATGCTTATATGGCTGTGCCTTTGGAATGTGACCAAGATATAATAAATCACTTTCTCCAATTCAGAGTTACCATGGATTGTCTGTGCACCCTATTTTGGACATGCATCCAATACAAAATGTTTTTTGATTAGCAGTTATACTCATCTCAATTCAACAAAACCTTATCCAAACTGATCAATAACAAAGCTTTAATCTTGACTATTTGGGGTTGGCTACACAAATCCTGTCCCACCATTGTGCTCCATCAAAAGCCATGTTTTTTTTTTGTTAAATTATAAGTCCTTAAATCATTTTTTATCACTTTTATTCTATCACACCTTTTTTTTTGGTATTCTCCTTACTCTTTAAGAGCCTATACTTGCACCAAGTCATTCCTTCAATACTACAGTCACTGATCATCTATGCACAGGATTAAACCATCTCAATCAACTTTTCCTCTTCTTGCCACTAATTGGAGCTACTCCTAAGTCCTTTCTAAGGTGCTCATTTTTTGTTCTGTCCTTTCCTGTCTTCTCACCCATCATTCTCAGCATTCCAACTGATCAGGATGAGTAACTATACCGATTTAAATATGATTTGAGTCATATATAGTGTACATGCACTTGCGTTCATTATTATTTACCTTGGAAAATACCATAATTAGACAATGAAACTTATTGTATAAAATACCTGAGTTACTCCTAAGTCCTTTCTAAGGTGCTCATTTTTTATTCTGTCCTTTCCAGCCTTCTCACTCATCAATCTCAATATTCCAACTGATCAGGATCAGTAACTATCACAATTTAAATATGATTTGAGTCATATATAGCATACATGCACTTGCATTCATTATTATTTACCTTGGAAAACACCATAATTAGACAATTAAACTTCTTGAATAAAATACCTGAGTTATTGGAAATCGAAATCCTTTTAGGTTCACAGTTTTTGTGTTGCAAGTTCATTATTGCAATAGGATATGGCACTTGACAGAGTGGAATGGAAAAACATGATTTTTGTAGCCTTTCTCATATGGTTGGGATAAGGCCTTCTTGAGTGTGAGTTGAAGTCCACTACTGCAATCTTTTTACTTTTTTTTTCCAAATGGTGATTTAAGCACATCTCATTATTTATAGAGAAGGCATACCTCTAATCATTAATCAAAAAGCACATGCATTAAAAGACAAAAACAACCCATGATTTGAATTGTCATAACTGGGGGTGGTTTCTTTACCTTTTTAACAAGGATGTGGATTATTAAAAATGAGATGTGCCGAATCAGTCCCTTTTTTTACAGGGCATCAACAATTGAAGACATTTTGACTATCAAAAATAGTGTGTGTTCTTTTATGGAGATTAAATACTTACTATTAAATGTGAATTGTCTGTGATTAGTGAGTGCATCCACTCCTTACAAAAGTCAAAAGTTGTATGGCTTGATAGTTTTTGACTCCTAGGAAATACAAAAATACCCATGCTTAACACCTCAATTGAGGGACTCTTTAGTAATACAATTATACCACTTATCAAAAATAAATAAATAAATAAATAAACAGTTGATGACACCATGAGTTTTGAGAGTTAGATAAGATGCTGGCACATTTGAATATATTGCCATCACTTGTCGGTTGTCATTGAGCTTGCCTGATGGATTAGATATCTTCACATTGCTCTGTCAATGTTTGTGAACTTTGCCAAACACAAAACTTGTTGATAATGAAAAAAATCCGACTTTTCTTGAACAGAATGATTTTAGGGTTCAAATATTTTGTTGGTTTTCTCAATACTAGATACTTATGTATTTTACAAACAAAAAAAGATACTTTTATGTGGTAGGCTCACAGGCTGCCTAGGGTGGATCAACTTAACAAACCTGAAGGTGTGAGCTAATCTAGAAGGAAATCAAGAAAAGAAAAAAAAAATGAAAAAGGCCATTACCTCCAGCCACCCCAGGTATTGGAAGGGCCTGTATGCAGACCAAGTCTCTAGTTGGACCAAGCAATGACCCCTTGGATCAAGAAAAGATCACCTTTATAAACTGGAAGAATCTGCAAATCAAGTCTCTTGGGATTTCAGTATCAAGATGATCAAAATAAGAAACCTAGGAGCCTACATGGGAAATGATTCTGGTTTTTCTTTTCTTTTCTTTTTCTTTTTTTTTTTATGTCAAGAACCACTGTCTATACCATTCATTTATCAAAAGGACTGTCATTTCCCATAGATATCTAAGGTTATTGCCTCCTTTTTTGTTTGTTTTGGCGATGTGAGAAATGTAAGTAGATCCAAAAATAAATTAAAATTCTAGAAGGTCTTCTGTTGGTAATAACTCTCCTCTTGTCACACTTTCTTGTTTCAAGTTATGCTACCTTTTTTTTCCTCAGGTATCCCTTGTGAATTGTGATTCCCATTTTTCTGAGTGGTTCAAGGGAATGGTAGGTCTTGATGCCTCTTCTCTGTTTGATGAGTCATTAAAGATGCATGTGCCTCAGAGATCATATGTGGAGGGAGTGACTTGTTGAAATAAATAGGATACTTTTATCCAAAATCAATCCCTTTTATTATGTGTTCTAAGGTGACAAATCATTTAATTTCCTTCACTCCTGAGTTTGGGAATCTGCACTGCCTCCTAGAGTTAAACCTAGGGGTGCAAATCTGGTACCAGACCTGAAGAACTTACACAGCATTGGACCTGGAACCTTGGGCCAAGTCCATTCAAATTTTAGAAAATGCTCAACCCAAGTCCACTCAAGTTGCAGCCTGAGTTAAAGTATGTGGGGAATTTGCAGATTAGAAGGTGAATAGCTTTTTTTTATGAATATTAGAAGGTGAATAGTTATGACAAGCACAAAAAAATGATTAAACAATTGGAATCATCCAATAGAAAGCTAGTCTTTTAGAGAACTTTGGATATCTTGAACAATTCCTAGTGAAATGCAGAAATGTTCTTCTTGTTGAGGAAGGGAAGCAAGCTTTACAGAAATGTTTCACTACATTTAATGGGTATTTTGAGAGGAGAAATATTTGATGGCATTTGTGTGACAGGCTTCCACCCTAGCTATCACTCATTGAAAAGGATTACCACAAGGGTTTTGGTGTTTCCATTGCAAACCTTCTTAAAGGCATCTCATTACATGGTGTTCACTGGGATTCATATAATTTGTTTTATTGGTTAGATTTATATACTTGTTTTTGGTGTTGTCTTCCTATTGAAATGATCTTGAGACCTTGAACCGAACCTGATGTGTGCTATTAAGATTAACTTCAATGGTTTTTGAGTTGGCAACTAATGAGTCAAGCATCTAACATCTGAGGTGCTTCCAGAGGATGAGAGTGCACAATCCTATTTACCTTCACTAGCCTAGTGACAGGTAGAGACTTGAAGATGACATCATATCCCTTTTATAGAATCACCTCCAACCCTTCCCCTCTCCTATCTTTACCAGTTAGGTGCATTATCCACTTGGAGACGTGTAGATCTTGCTTTTGGTCTTCCAAATAACATTTTATTCTCTAAGGTTCTAGACATGCCATGGAATAGTAAAATTACAAGTGTTGAACAAAACAAAATATATGCGTTTCAGATTGTACACTTAAAATCACCACATGCATGTACTGTTGAAACATGGGGACCAAATGTTAGTTTCAGAAACACACCTGTTTGGTTATCACTTGACCACCAGCTATATGTGCGAAATATATGTTATAGAAGTGGCATAGGAACAAAGGGGCACTCTTCTCAGCAAGCTCCTCTAGGTATTTCGCATAGGAAACTCCAGGAGTACCAGGTTGCGGAATGGCAATGTCCTGATGGCTGAACCACTCTAGATCTTTTAAAAGACCTTCTGTGCGCTCCAGTCCAGTTTTTCTGAAGTGAGCATCTGTAGGAATGGGTAGCCACATAAACTTTCAGTGAGTTCACTGTCACCATTCTAATGGCTAAAAGAAGCAAGAGTAACAGTTGAAGTGAAGTAGAACTGGTTCCTTCATCCCGTAGAAAGCAGGAAAATAAGCCAAAATGGGGTACGTGCAACAGTATCACACCATGGCGAGGACCTTGCATATGTATATTCGAAATTCCATGTTCATGCATTGACTATTTTTCGTTTTCTGAATTTTCTAAAATCCAGAAATCTCTTTTCTGAATTCAACACCGAGTAGGCTGAATTCAGTTTCCTCCGCCAATAAGAAGGAAAATAGAAAGAGGAATGACTTCAATGCCAAGTAAGGAAATACAAAAGCACTTGCAAGAAGAGGTAAAAGAAGTGAACTAGTGAATGTAGAGAAGGGACAAGGGAAACTCACAAGCAACATGGTCGGATTCGTCGACAATGCGGTCGAGGGTTTGGAAGACGAGTTTGCTATCGACCAGGTACTTGAGGAATCCTTCCATGCTGGGCTGCCAAGTATCCCCCCTATCATCTGGTGAAGATTCTGAGGAAGAGTCCTCATCACAATTCGTATCATCGTCGTTGCCATTGCTACTATTCTTCTTCTTGGCGTCATCGTTACGGAGCTTCATGGCGACAAACCTCATCTCTTCAACGATGCCCTTGCTCTCTCCTGGATACTGTTTTCTGTATCTTTTCCTCTTGCGCAAAATTGGAGCTGGTGTCGCCGTCGTCGTCGTAGCAGTAGAAGTGGAATTAATAGAAAAATTAGAGCAACAAAAGACGAGGAACCCATTTCCATTTCTGCTTCTTGGGTTCTTCGCTATTGTCTCCTGAAATTGTAATCCCGCTTCATATGGAAACGAAACGAAACGTGACGAGGAATTACGAAAACATACTCCTGTTACGGCTGATAATGTCGTTGCTGTTGCTGGAGAGGCAGAGAACAGCATCCTCTTCCCTTTCTCTCTCTCTGAATTCGCTCTTTCTTAAAATGGAAAGCTTCCTTCAGGTTCAGGCTTCAACCAAGATTAGACTCCGACCGGATTACACCCTAGCAGAGCTGAACAGTGAACAGGACGACCACAATACTAGACTTTAGCCGACGAGTTATTAGATAGAAATTAAACAGTCCTCCACAAAACAAAGAAATATCTCGAAGAGAGATGCTAACGTCACGGGCCTCACGGCAAGTCGACAACGACATTCCACAATTTAAGGTTCATATCTTAAGAGTTTAAAACCCATCATTTTTAACGACGGTCGACATAAGCCGTAATTTCGGTCGGTCCCATAACTTTTTTTTTGGTAATTCAAAATACACGAGTCCATTCGGAAAGAAACACAAACAAACAACAGCAACAGCAACTAAGAAACAGAACCAGAAGAAACCACATCGGGGACAAAATCTAAATCTCGAAGAAGCCATCAAGGAGGGGAAGTCCATTCAGCTTCCAAACCTGCCTAACCTTTGGCAGCTAACACATGAGTTGCATGAACTCTGTTGCGATCCACATGATTGAACACCACATTTGGTCCTGCAAGGCTGTAGATATCCTGTAACAAAGGCCAAGCCTCCGGAGCAAAACTAAACTGAAGGATTCTTTATTACATTCACAGCATCACATTTGACTTTAACAAAAACCAAGCCCAGGTTTTTCGCTGCTAAACAGCATTCTCTAATTGCAAAAGTTCTGCAAATTCAGCTGAAACAGCCTTGCATCTTCCACAGGAAACAAAACTGACCCAGAACTGGACCTTAACACAAAACCAAAACCACTTGAGTTCTCTGAAAAACTACCATCATTGTTGCCACACAAAAACCTTCAAAACTTGACCTCTCCAGGGAGCAACATTCAATGTTAATGTCATCTAAACTAAAGGTGATCAGGACAGGACCCACCATTCAATAAGCTGCAGCCCCACTTCCGAACCATTGAAAATTCTTTGAGTTGGAAACAAGATCTAATGTTAATGTCAATTCAATCAAAAAGTGGGTTAGCATAAAGGCCTCTGGAAGTTGTTGGAACCAAAATATATATTAAAAAAAGATCTTTATTTAAAGCATGGAGTTGTTCCACTCCATCTTTTAAGCTGGATGGCTCCAACTCAGCCTTGTCGTATAAATGTCAACAATTACATCATTTAAATAAAACCTTTTAAAAACTCGACCTCAAGTGCTGAACCGGAACCACCATTCCATTCATAAGAACCAAAAATACATAAATTACAATTTACAAAAGCCACCCATGAGTGGGGGAGGAAGAAGGCAAGACTCGAGAGGCCTGGCACTGGCAGCAGCTATCTATCTCTTTCTACTACGTTTCCTGGTACTGATTGAAATTGTTGTGGTAGTACTCGAGCCACTGTGACATCTAATTCAGTCTTACATCAACAATCAGGTTACTGCTTCAAAATACCCATTTCCAAGTGCTCTTTTCTCAGATGTAAGTTGTAACCCCAGGCTCTCAATGTTAGGTCTACATGTATGCAACAGTTTATGTACAACGTTCATGGAAAAGAATCTTCAATTCTTCATTATATACCAAACACATCAATACTCATGTATGGTTGGCTTTCAGCTTCTTCAAGAATTCTAAAGTTTCTGCATAAGATGGATCACCGCGGTTGACTGGCTTGCATGAATTAATATGATCCGTTGATTCTAGTACCTGTTCCAAAATTAGAATCAACAAAAAGTTACAATGTAAGCAGAAGCACATATTTTCATACAAATTCAAAAATACTGGAAATATTCAATAGCTTCCCAGCTTGAATGGCTTAACCTTTTAAGACAGGTGATAAATTTCTGAAAGATTAACAGAACCTGCCCCAAACAGATGAAGTGCAATGCCAAGATGTCATATTGTATTTCATTGATGAAATATTTACTACTAATAGAGAATAGGTCTGCTGAACACAAAATGAAGTAGCTGCGTGACATTTCAAGGAGATGATGGAAAATTTCGTTCCTTTTACTTTATTTTATTTTATTTTTTTATTTTTTATTTTATTTTATTTTATTTTTTTTTT